GAAAGAGCACTGGCTATGGAGTCAGAAGAGCTGCTCTAATGCACACTGTCTGAGTAAGTCATTTAACTATTGTGTGACTTTGTTTGGTTATCTGTAAAATGGGGAAATGGGACCTGGTGCTTCTAAGGTCTCTTCTAATTCTAAATCTAAGCTCCAATGACCTCCTAATACATGGGAGAGTTAATAATCTTTGTAGGGAGAGGAACTGCCCAAACAAGAGAAAACATGAACCTTTAAAGTCAGAAGATGTACAGCTACATTTCAAAGGCTACTAAGTTACCAAGCGTACTATATTATAACAGAAAAACAATGCCTGCTTAAAGTATACGTGCACCTCTAGTTGCACATTCCCCCCAAACCACAAAGAAGGGTCAATTCTATAAATAGCAAATTTCTGAATTACTCTTCACCTACTTTTCCTGGAAGGGATTTTCCTTCAGCTCTTCCAGCCAACTGGTGAAAGAAGCAAGGGCTGAGTCTGACACCATGGACCAGTTTACAAAGTTCCATGTACGGAGTTTTCCATTGCACCTAGAAGCCCCTCAAGAAACTACTGCAGAACAGGAACCTGGACAAAGTATGCTTCCTGTACCTCTCCGCTCACCAGCCCCTCTCCCCCAACAAAAATGTGAGAGCATAAATGAACACTCTATGCCAGGGAAATCTCTAGGGGATACACAATAGAAGGGCTAAGTTAGGGGGCGGACCAGGGCAGCCTTAAATTTAAAACAAAACAAAATGGCTAGTTTCTGGCTAGTTTCAAGGTGGGGGGGGGAGAGAAGAGAAGCAATAAGTCTCCAGGAGCAATGTCCTAGCCAGGAATAATCTACAAGCCATAGTAAAGAAAGACAATGGAGAAATGTTCAAATGGCTGCCCTACACCTAACCTTCGGCTCTCTTGGTATCCAGACTGAGTCATGATGTTTGGTCTGTTAAACATCCGTCCCCCAAACTGCTCAACGTACATGTTTTACCCCAGTAGAATGTAAGCTCTTTGAGGGCATGAACTTTGTTTTTATCTTTTTACCCCCAGTGCTTAGCATAGTTCCAGGCACATAGTGACCATTTAATAAATGTTTGTTGACTAAATGAATTAAAATGACCAATTTTTATAGAATATTGAATTCTATGTTGGGCAAGGGGCAATGAGGAATATACAGGCTGATACAGACCAGTCCAGGGTCCTCAAGTAGTTTATAAACTAGAGCAGGAAACAAGATTAAGAGACGTAAGAAGACTAGCTTAGCAACAAATGCTAGGGATAGTTAAGTGCTAAATAATGTGGCAGAGAATATATGTTCCATAGTAGTCAAGGAAAAAGAAGATCAAGAAGGAATAGCATAATCAGAAAAGGTTTCACACAGAAGGTGGAATTAGAGCTAGATCTTAGAGAATGGGTAAGATCCTAGCTGAGAGGCCACAACACCATGTTGCCTTTCACTCGATTACATTCTGTCTTATTTTTTCTGCTTTCTTTTTTAATGGCTGTTCCTCCAAAGTAGATTGTAAACCCCTAAGATCAGGGATGATGTCTTTATAACTCTTTCACATTATGGATAGGCATCAGAGGAAGAGGAGGACATTTCAGGTGAATGAGCAAAGGTGAGAATCAGTATGGACAAAGAGGATATCAACCTGTCTGGTCCAGAGGAGGGAGGACATTTTGAGGGGTCGGTTGTACACAGTGAGGCCAGATCATGGCATTCCTTGAGAGTAAGGCAGGAGTTTACTACCTGGCACAATCACTACAGTTTAGGGGCATGGTAGTGGCATTTTTTTTTTACCAGATCCGTTATGGAATTAATTGATATAGGGACCTCTCTGTGAGAAAACTTGTTCTAGTGATGCATATGTACATTTGCTTTACAACTTAGTCTTAGAGAGCTGTATGAGACAGTGAGTGGTTAAACGACTAGCCCAGCGCCACCTAGCCAGCATATATCAGAGGCAAGTTTTAAATACTCATCTTCCTAACTCCAAGGCCAACTCTTTATCTGTTATACCACAATGCCTCTCTGCTAGCAACATCATTAAGCAGGAAAGTAAAAGATATTATAATTGTTGCTTTAGTGCCTTTCCACTAAATGGTCCTTCATGTTTGGAAGGCACTCCTTCCTTACCTCTGCATAACAGAAGTCCTAGCTTCCTTCAAAACAGAGCTCAGGTGCTACCATGTAAGAGCTTTCCTGGTTCCTGCTACTCTGACTGCGCTCTCGCTCGCTCTCTCTCTCTCTCTCTCATTCTCTCTCTCTCTCTCTCTCTCTCTCTCTCTCTCTCACAACTTCTTTGTAGCAGTTTTTGACTTGTAGACCTGTTGTGTCTCTGAATTATATGCAAAATATAAGCTCCTTGAAGGCAAAGACTATTTTGATTTTTTGAGGCAGCTCCTGGTACAGAGGGCAGAGTTCTGGGCCAGTCTCAGATACTTACTAGCTATGTGACTGTGAGCAAGTCACTTACCTCTATATGCCTCAGTTTTCCCAAATGTAAAATGGGGAAAATAATAGCATCTACTTTGAAGAGTTGTGAGGATTATTTGAGATATTTGTTAAAAAAAATACTTACCACAGTAACTGGCTTCATATAAATGTAGAAGACTTTATAAAAATCCTTATGCCTTCCTTTTCCCTCCCTCTTTGAAACACTAAGTACTTAATAAACTCTTAATAACTATTTGTTGAATTGAATAAATTAATGAGAGCAATATTTAAGAAAGATTAATCTACTAGTTGTATGCAGGATGGATCTGAATAAGAAAAGCTGGAGTCATGGAGGCCAGCTAGGAAATAGCTACAGCATTCCAAAGAATTAATGGGGAACTAGGTTGAGGTGATAGCAATGGAAATAAAGAGGTTTAGATGAGAGACATATCTATAAGATTTGGTGACTGATAGAATATAGGGGATAAAGAAAGAGAAGCTTCAATGATGACTCCAAGGTTTTGAGATTTATGCAGTTTCTATCTTTATTAGGCACTGCATAATTATAGCATCATGGACTGATTAAAAAGAGCTTGAGTAGATGTGATAGTTATCTAATGTATTGGGAAATTCTCTCTTTTCTTTTTTCTTTTTAAAAAAATCCTTTGTTATAAGGAACAGCTTTCTGAGAAGGGGTAAAAAGGGATACAGGGAGAAATGTAAGTAATATCAATAAAATCAATTTTTACAAGAGTGAATTGGATCAACATAAGACAAAAGGTATGATTATATTTTTATAAGTCCATCATTTGGACCTAAGGCCTAGGAACAATGCATTTTAAGCTATAGGACTTAGGCTAAAATCCTAGCTCACATATTATTTCAGGAAAGTCATTTAGCTTCCTTAGGCCAATGAAAGGTTTCATTTAGTCCAGTTGTTCTCACATTTTTTGTTTTTTTGGGAATCAAGAATCCTTTTCTCTCTTAAAAATTACTGACAACCTAAAGAGCTTTTGCATATACAGTCTAGGTATATTGATACTTATAGTATTAGAAATTAAAACTGATATTTTTAAAATATTTAATTCATTTAAAAATAAGACATTGATTACATGTTAACAGATAACATTTTATGAAAAAATAACTATTTTTTCAGAACAAAAAAATTTAGCAAGAAGAACAGCACTGTTTTACATATTTTTTGCAAATTTCTTTAATGTTAGGCTTAACAGAAGACAGCTGGATTCTCATATCTGCTACTGCATTAAATCCGTTTTAATATGTTATTAAGTTTAAGGCAGTGAGGTGGCACAGTGGATGAAGCACTAGGCCTGGCATTAAGAAGACTTGAGTTCAAATATGGCCTCAGACACTTAGTAGTTATAACCCTAGGCAAGCCACTTAACCTCCGTCTGCCTTAGTTTCCTTAACAATAAAATGATGATACTAATAGCACCGACCTCCCAAGGTTGTTTTGAGGATCAAATGAGAAAATATTTGCAAAGTGCTTAGTATAGTGCCTGGCACATAGTAGATACTTAATACTTGTTCCTTTCTGCTCTATGTGAAAAAAAATCTGGCCTTACACAGAAAAAGTAGTTGGAAAAGAGAGGAATATTTTAATAGGCAAATAGAATCTTAGTATTACTATAAAAATAGTTCTAGACCACACTTTGAAAACTGCTCAAGTAAGATCACTAAGGTTCAGTAAGGCTTTAAATCCTATGAGCCACTCTATGGTAGGTCTGCTCAGCCTACTTCCAAGGACTTAACTGAAAAGGTAGTGTGGTATGGTGGAAAGAGCACTGGCTCTAGAATGAGAGGACCTGGGTTCAAATCCTACCTCCATCACCCATGACCTATGTGAACATGGACAAGTCACTTAATCTCCCCCAGCCTCAGCTTCCCCATCTACAAATAAATGAAACTGTATTAGATGTCCTAAGGATTCTTACATAGCTCTGATCCTATAACAAAATAAAGGCAAAAATCCTGAATGAATAGTAGTTAAGAAAATATGAAAGGCTTTGATTCTCCTCTCCCTTAGTACTAGAAATACAACTTCTAGTCCTGGGGAAGGTAGGAGGTGCATTTAAGAAATAGTTTGCCCTCAGGAGGGGTGTGGTAAAAAATTAAAGCCACAATAAAATAAAAATAGAATCAACGGTCTTCTCTTGGGGCACAGATTCTCTCAAATAAGAAAAAGAGGCATTTCAAACTGATTACTGAAGTCACTCAGTCAATAAACATTTATTAAGCACTTACTATGTACCCAGTACAGTGCTAAGTGCTAGAGATACAAAAAAAGGCAAAGGACAGCTCAAGTCTAATGTCTGGATGTCAAATGATTCATGGCATAGTCAGCAGGCAGGCCACATGTGAGTTATAAGTATAACTTATACTTTTAGGCACTGGCTTTGCAAAATTAAAACATTTTAATTTGATCATCACAATACAACATAGTATCACTGGCTGCCCAGCAATCTAATTCATTGCAAGAGAGGAGAAAGATGGGTCCATAAGAAACTTCCGGTTAACCACTAGCAAGTGACCAAAATCAAAAATCCAAAATGAACATACCTTTGAGAAATCCAGCCTGGCATGCAAAGCTCAACACTCAAAGTGGCAGTTGTCTCTCTGCGGAGTCTAGGTTAGCAAAAGAAGAACGTGACTTAGTTTTAAGTCCAACTAAAACAACTCCTCCCTGATCTACCCAGCCACATTAAATAAAAAAGCTCTCATTTAAAAGTCTCAGAATTGAACTTTTAAAACATGCATGGAAATAGAAGGCTAGGGCTGCTCCTGAAAACTCCAAGCATAACTGTTCCTTAACGTCCACCCCAGCTAAGAAGGACGGGAATAAAATCACCATCTGCAAAGCGATAAAAAATGGTTGCGACTAAGTATGTGAGGCTTGCTACTTAGACCTCCCCCCGGTGTGGGGCACTCAGTGGCCTAATCAGGAAAATTCCATGTACAGCTACTTGCGGTCCCCTTCCCCAAAAAAGGTTTGAGATCATAAAAGTGCCTCCCCACCCTTTAAGACTGAAAGGAAAACAGTCATCCAAATCTTCCGGTCTCCCAGGAAACTGAGTTTTGATGCCAGGGGTCATGCAAAGCCAACACTCCCTTATATACCTTTCCCTTCCTTTTCACTGGTGTCTAAGCATCTGCACAATCAGATCTGTTACACAGAGCAACATTTCCCCTCAAAGAACACATGCGGTCATACCCAGTCTGGTCAATCCTCTTCTGGAAAGCAGACTAGAGGAGGCTGAGCCGCGGGTAATGGATAAACACAGTCTCACAGCTCCTGAAGACAGCCCTCCCCCTACCCCACTGTAAAATAACTAACAACGTAGTACCAACCCTGCTAGGAGAGTCCATTCGGTCCATCCTGGGGACTCTGGGAGGTTCTGAGAGTGAATGGGCCTAGGCTGGCCAGCAAGCTCATGGTAAGTATCGCAGGAGAAAGAGCAGCTTTCCACCCACCAGGAGAAAAACAAACAAAAGCCAATGTGGCTTCTAATCAGGGACAACCAGTAGCATTCCCTGGTCAAAGTTACACTGTAGCTCCCCTTGCTGGCTTTAGGTATTTCTGCACCCTGTTAATTTTCTGACATCGTAGCTTCTGTTTTTTTTTTTTAAAAGGAGAAGGAGGGACTGCTTAGTGGTTAACCTCGAACAGAGGGGGAAAGATGGTAAAAATAAATACCTTCTTGATACTACCAGCTGAACACACACACACACACACACACTCTCTCTCTCTCTCTCTCTCTCCCTCCCCCCCTGTTTTTTAAAAGTTTTTACTATGTAGCAAACACTGTTATAGTATTTAGCCTCAAGGAGCTTATATTCCAATGGGGAAAGTCAGTTTATAAAAGGAAGCTGGAAAGGGGTTGGGGGTAGGAGCTGAGAGAGACAAAAGTTCAGAGTGGGAGTATGGTAGAGGAAGTGCAGAGTGGAGGAATGAGACTTGGCTGTCCTGAGTGGCCCCTTAAATGGAGATTTTGGGAGAAGCCATGCAATCAGAAGGAGAGGCACTGGGGTGGAAGGTACATATATGTGAATATGTATGTATTTATTAAGATTACATTTATTCTGTATATAGTTTCATGTGTACTTGTGCCCCCCATTAGAAAGTATGTTCCTTGCAAGTAAGGATTGTTTCTTTGTATTTGTATCCCCAAGGCACAGCCCCGGACACAGAGTAGGACTTTCAATAAATATTTGATTGATTTACTTTTGAATAATACAAAGTATTCTTATTTGTTGACACAAAGAATGAAACAATCACTGCTTTCAAAGAAGATATAGTCTAACGAGTGGAAATAAATACATATAAACTATATGCAGAATAAATATATTAATAAACGCATTATATGTATTATACATAATATACATATATCATATTAACATATTGTATGTATATAATATATTAATATAATATATGTACATAATATATATTCACACATACGTGCTTCCACTCTGTACTACATTCTAATGGGGTAGATGAGACTCTATAAAACATCTCCAGCATAAATGTAAAGTTTCAACCTTACACCATGCTGAGGTTTGAAAGCAGATATAGTTTTTAATTTCAAAATTCTAACATTTGGCTACAGCTGTAGGAGACCTCAAGTCAGATGACCTGAGTTCAAATCCTGCCTCTGACTCCTCCTATTTATGTGACTGACTATGAGCAAGTCATTTAAACTGTCTAGGCCTCAGTTTCCTCATCTCTAAAATGAGGCCTCTGAGGTCGCTTAGCTCTAGACTAAAAATTTAGATCCCTCAAATAGAACTCAAAAGTAAAAGCAGAGAACTAACTATATTTAGGGTTTTATTTATATGAACTAGAAGTTAAGAATCCTGATTCATGATGTTTTAGGACTCATTATTCAATGGGGATGTATTACATGTATAACATGTAGTTATAATAATAGTTAACATTTATATAGGGCCTACTAAGTGCCAGGCACTATACTAAGTGTTTTAAAAATATTATCTCCTATCTCTTTTGATCCTCACAACCATCCAAGAAGGTAGGTACTATTATTATCCCCATTTTATAACTGAAGAAATTTAGACAAACAGGGTAATTGATCTGCCCAAGGTCACACAGCTAATAAGTATCTGAGGCTAGATTTTAATGTGTGTGCATATATATATATATATACACATATATATGTATATATATACATATACATATACATATATATATGTATATATATACATATACATATACATATATATATACACGAATATGTTTTATATATATCTATGTACATTTATGTGTCTATATACATATTAATGATTACTAAGTACATGCATTTTAAATTTAAAAATTTCCCTTGGACTGTTTTTACAATGTGCGAATTCAAAGTGTGAAAATGAATTAGACTTGGTTACAACAAAAGTTGCCTATTTATATCCAGTTCCTTAAATGACATACCAACAGTATAAACTCAGAAAAATAAGTGTCTTATAGAATACACATATAACCTTAAAGAAGAGTGCTTCTGCAATCACAGTAATTAAAGTCAGTCGACATATTAAACATTGTGCAAAGCAGGGAGGCTAGGTCTTATGGCAGGGTTATGTCTAGGAGTAACAGAATGGAAGGAAACCCTTTGCAAAAATTTGCTTTGGGTCCTCAAATTTAAGAATATGAAATAGTTTACAGTAACCAAATTCCCCCCCCTTCTGTGCATCAGTGTTTTGTTTTTTTCACTACAAAGTTTGTATTTTGTTGTAGTATTCCTTTCTGTTTTCTTTTGTTATATATGAATTTAATTTTCCTAATTCACCATCATTACAACTGGGAGAATCTCAAACAATTCTAGAAAGCTTAAATAAGAAGGGGCCTTAGAAACCAAATAAAAACTGAAGCATGAATCGTCTTTGCTTTTGCTCACTGTTTTTGTCAGTCAGTAAACATTTATTAAGGGCCTACTATGCACCAGACACTGTGCTAAGTGCTGGGTATACAAAGAAAGGTAAAAGTCTTTGCTCTCAGAGAACTCACAATCTAATAGAGGAGATAGCATGCAAACAACTATGTACAAACAGGCTACAGACAGGCTAAAGTGGAAATAATCAAGAGGCTAGAAGTAAGAAGTAAGAAGGAATGGGAAAGCCTTCTTGTGGAAGGTAGTAATTTAGCGAGGACCTGAAGGATTGTAATTCTTGAGGATGGATGAGGAGAATGTTTTTCAGGGTAAATTTTTTTTTGGCTGCTTTATGGTGAGGCACTGGGGTTAAGTGACTTGCCTAGGGTCACACAGTTAGTGTCAAGTGTCTGAAGATGCATTTGAATTCGGGTCCTCCTGAGGGCCAGAGCTCTATCCACTGCACCAACTTGCTGCCCTCAGGGTAAAAAAAATCTTTTTAAAGAAATTTTCTCTTCTTTCTAGCTCCAAATTAAGAAATTTTCCAGGATAAGGTCAGATTTTCCAGACTTCCACTCTCTGCTAAGGACTATCTGACCAGTTAGTGAGTCTATACACACAACTCAAACTCTAAGCCAACAGGAAATCTTTATCAATGAATGAGGGAAATGGAGAGGTAGGAAAGCACTATAACAAACTTGTCTTTAAATTCTTAATACAAGACATTTTTTTAAAAGTAACTCAATCCTTGCCTTTAACAATAAATTAAAATCAATAGCGCAAACATTGTACTGGAGAAACATACTGCTTGAGGCAGTCAGATGGCCTGTGGGGTAACTCGTACTTTTTCTGAGTGGGGAAGGAGAGTAGTGGACCACTTCCTGGTCCTGGAAACTGACCTGGCATTCTGGAAATCTTCATGGCTGTGTGGAGGCAGCCTGATACTTCAATCAAGGGCATTAACATCCACTAGCATTGGATAGAAAATCAGGAACTACTATGAGTTATAGTAACTTTAATGAAATCATATTTTTAAAAAAATTATTAGTTCATTATAGTATTGCTAAAGCTTACACTTTAATTCCTTGCCAGGCAAAATAAAACTTGCATGCCCAGACTGGATTGGCCACAATGGAGTATTTTGAAAAGCAGAAAGTTAAATGGACAGGACTGGTTCAGAGTGCTGTTCAATAGCCCATATCCTGTTTGCAAACAAAACCTTTTTTATTCTAGGACACCCAATCATTGTTTCTTTATAAAGTTTCCAGTCCCTCCCCCATATAATTTTAATTTCAAAAGTGAATTTGTGAATTTTTAAAATGGGGAGAGGGGGAGGAAAGAATGTTTATTTCCTCAAGACATGTGAGTCACTAAATTATAATTAAATATTCCAATTAAACTTTTGCCCTCTAATAGCTCAAGGGCACTTTTTACTGTTGGGATATTATCAAAGGACTAGACACCTTAAGCCACCCCCAAAATATAATAATCCTACTTTGAAATAAAAATTTTCATCCTACTATCTCTATTTTCTTTGCCTTAATGGATTAAAAAAAATGCAGTCAGTTGACACGGATTGATCTTTTGAGATATTCTTAAATTCCTCTACTGTTAAAACACAACTTTGAGAAGGGTAGCTCCAGGGTTTGAATCCACAGACAGGCTCCAGGTATACAAATCTTGGCATTTATTATCTGTCTGCCCCCTTTTCAGTGTCACCATCCTCCTTGGACAGTCCTCTTCAGTCCCATTTCCAAACTGATATTATTTTCTGGGCCTACAAAAATAAAGTAATAGATTTGACATTTAAGCCCTACTTTCAGCTACTAATAGGTTGCTTTTTTTTTTTCATGGAGCATGACTTTTCTGCCTGTTCTGAAGTAGTTTCCAAAAGATTTAGCTTCCCAAAGTAAGAGAACACTTGAGTAAGTGAAGAGCCTCAAAATTAGATATCACTTTAGCAGAAATTAAATAAATGCACTCGACCTTTAAGAGGAAGCATATGAGCGGCCTCAGTCAGATCCAGCATGCAATGCTAGTTGGAAGACTACAAATCCCAGGATACATCACTGTCACCTTACTTAGATAATGGGGAAGCAGTGCATGTAGGGATCTGTAGCAAGATGGGATCCGTAGTCAGATTACGCCCGAAATCATTGATAAAAGATTGTTCTGAGTACTTCTTCACCCATTTATGTATCCCGTCCCCCTCATACCTCCATCATTTGTCTGGACTGCTAATAAGTACATTCCCTTGTTACACAATGTTATGACCAAAATCTTCCCTTATTACTGAGCACGTATACCTAAGAACTAAGTTACCTTAGAATTTCAGGGTCTATACTCCACAATTCTGATTTTAGAAAAAGCTGCTGAGGGAAGAGTGAGGGAATGTTTTGGGGCTATATGTGCTAAGTACATGCTACTTTCATTGCTTTTTTTCCCCCAGAACACAGTGTAGTAAAATGTCAGCCCTGAATTTTATGTTACAAATCTTATGGGGGAAAACACTTTTGCTTAAATCTATAAAAGTAGAATCTTTCTGACTTTGGTGCTATGGGAATATAAAATGGGGAACTTGTCAATCCCATTAATAATTTAACTACAACCAATATTAAAGTTGAAAAGGAATGAGTAATTATGCCTATAGGGCAGGAATTCTTAACCTTTTTTT